CACTCTTTCATGCTGTTCTTTTCACACCTAACACTGGCCACACACACACACACACACACACACACACACACACACACTGTTCTGTAACTTATTGTTCTCTAACTTTAAAAAAAGAAAATCGGCCAAAGGACATGTGCACTTTTACTGGAGAGACACATACACACACGGAGAGAGGAGAGAAAGAGAGAGAGAGAAAACACACTTTGGTCACACTATAATCTCTTCTCCATTTCTCCCTACTTTTGGGGTTCTGGGTGGCCACACATACACACACACACACTCCTGTAATGTTTTTCAATCCACCTAGTCTGGGACTTGGACCACACAGACAGTCATGCGGCATCCAGCTGCCTTAATCATTACGCCACTTGCTGGCCCGTTCTCTAACTTTTAAAACAGTCTCTGTAAAGGTGTATATTAGGCATCTTAGGGCATGTTTGTACTTGCTAAATAACAAACTTTTTTTTTTCTTTTTGGTGCACTTCTCTTTGTCATGTACTACCCCAATTCACAGACTTAAGTCATTACCATCCAGAGCACTGTGAGCTATGTCTTCTCTCTAGTACATTATGTAACAGAATTGGTTAGATAGGAGCATATCTGCCACCTCAGGGTATCACCAGAATGGAGCAATTTCAAGCAATAGTGTGCAGGTTAAGGTTTCACAACCGGGTCTCAGGGGAAAGAAGGATGGTAGGAAATGTCCTTCATAAGTTGTCACATCTGCCAATTTCAAGATACCAAAGCGATGTCAATGAATGCAGAGTAGAGAAATGATGTATTTCCAACATTCTGATACAATACATATAAATAACCTCAAGAACATAGATAACAGTAATATGCAGAAAATTAATTAGGGCCGGAGGCAGCAGGTGGTGTGGTGGTTAGAGCACTGGACTCCTGCATGGCCTATGGCGATTTGAGTCCCAGACCCCGCAGCTTGAAAATCATGCCAGATGCATGTCCATGCATGCCCAAAATCCTGAGAGGAGAATAGAAGAAAGGCGACTGTGGTGTGGTTATCCCCCCCTGGGGAGTGATTTCCTACCTTCTAACACCGCGCCCACACACACACACACACACACACACACACACACACACACACTGTTCTGTAACTTATTGTTCTCTAACTTTAAAAAAAGAAAATCGGCCAAAGGACATGTGCACTTTTACTGGAGAGACACATACACACACGGAGAGAGGAGAGAAAGAGAGAGAGAGAAAACACACTTTGGTCACACTATAATCTCTTCTCCATTTCTCCCTACTTTTGGGGTTCTGGGTGGCCACACATACACACACACACACTCCTGTAATGTTTTTCAATCCACCTAGTCTGGGACTTGGACCACACAGACAGTCATGCGGCATCCAGCTGCCTTAATCATTACGCCACTTGCTGGCCCGTTCTCTAACTTTTAAAACAGTCTCTGTAAAGGTGTATATTAGGCATCTTAGGGCATGTTTGTACTTGCTAAATAACAAACTTTTTTTTTTCTTTTTGGTGCACTTCTCTTTGTCATGTACTACCCCAATTCACAGACTTAAGTCATTACCATCCAGAGCACTGTGAGCTATGTCTTCTCTCTAGTACATTATGTAACAGAATTGGTTAGATAGGAGCATATCTGCCACCTCAGGGTATCACCAGAATGGAGCAATTTCAAGCAATAGTGTGCAGGTTAAGGTTTCACAACCGGGTCTCAGGGGAAAGAAGGATGGTAGGAAATGTCCTTCATAAGTTGTCACATCTGCCAATTTCAAGATACCAAAGCGATGTCAATGAATGCAGAGTAGAGAAATGATGTATTTCCAACATTCTGATACAATACATATAAATAACCTCAAGAACATAGATAACAGTAATATGCAGAAAATTAATTAGGGCCGGAGGCAGCAGGTGGTGTGGTGGTTAGAGCACTGGACTCCTGCATGGCCTATGGCGATTTGAGTCCCAGACCCCGCAGCTTGAAAATCATGCCAGATGCATGTCCATGCATGCCCAAAATCCTGAGAGGAGAATAGAAGAAAGGCGACTGTGGTGTGGTTATCCCCCCCTGGGGAGTGATTTCCTACCTTTCCTCTCTCTGTCTCTCTCAGGTGAGCACATGAGTTCTATGGCAAAAATCTAAGAAATAAAAAAATCACTGAAAAGAAAAATAATTAGAGAATCGACGAGTTATAGCATATACTATGTACCTTTGCAATGTAATAATTTTGATTCATGTAATTTAGCTTTTAATAACACCTGGGAATTGATTGGGAAAAGTCTTCATAATTTTTATTTTTTG